GCCGGAGCCCCGGGCGCGCGGGAAACGAGCTTCGTGGCCGGACGACTGACGCGGAGACCGGGCCTCTTCTCCGGAATTCGGAGGGGGCGGTGAGGGGCAGGTCTGCGAGGCTGCAGCGAGCTGAGGCCGACGCTGGTATGTGCGATGATATGTTGCGGTTTGGGGGCTATCTTGCTGAAGAATGAGCCCGGAGGCGTTACTGCCAAGCTGGCCGGGGTTCCTGCACTACTGGCCCCGGAGCAGCGGTCAGCGCGTCCGCACGAAGGCGTAGGGCGGGAGCGGGCTGCCCGGGGCTCGCACGCCACCCGCCCGTCCGCACGCGAGGGGAGCGCGTGTCGTGACCGCCGGGGATGAGATCAGCTTGGGTAACCTCAGCGTCGGGGCCGGGACATGCAGCCAGTCACGCAGCCACTCCCTGGGCTGCGAGCCCGCTGTGCTCCGGGAGAGGGAGCTGCGGGTGAATCAGAGTCCTCCAGGCCGGAGACTCAGAACTATTCCAGGGGGTGAAGACGAGGGACTGGGGTGCCGGAGAACAAGACCGTGCAAAAGGCATCTTACACTGTTAGGGGGCTGGATTGAATGAGCAAACCAGCTTTCCAGGCGCACACTGAAAATTCCCTCTGCGACTCAGTGACTTACACTGCGGCAGTAGGTAACTCTAAAATCCACTGTAACATGGAACCCAAACCCAAATCCTTGCTGTCGAGTCGCTTTCGACTCATAGCGGCCCTATAGGAAGGAGTAGAACTGCCCCAAGGGTTTCCAAGGATTCGAACGGCGACCTTTTGGTTAGCAACCACCGCGCCGCCAGGGCTCCTCACAGACCTCAAAGGTTATTAAAATGTGTCTTTATTTTGTTTATATCGTTTCATTTAACACGCAGTGCACACGGCTTGCATATGCGTGCATGAAGTTTATACAGTCGAGTCTGGAGGCGTGGTTTGGCAAGAGGAATACTTAACGAATTCAGAAAGTCAGGGCACAAACGGTGAGGTTACTTAAAAGGACAAATGAACTGGAAAAAAAATTCCGTCCATGACACGAGGAAACCATTACGTTCGTCTGTTCATGGTCTCGCACATCTTGTACCAACTCAACTGTAATCCACGGCGGAAACTTCTAATTAGACCCAGAAAATGCAAGTATTTAGCTGTGCCAGGCAAACATCAAAAATAAACCTTATGTTACAGGCACACGAATAACATACATAACATATAAGACAGCAGCATATCTTTAAAATTTTTGAATTTCAGTAACTCCTTAGTGGATACATGACTCAGGGTAGGCATGCCAGAGACCTGGTGGCCCAGTGGTTAAGAATTCAGTTGCTAACCAAAAGGTCGGCAGTCTGAATCCATCAGCCGCTCCTTGGAAACCCTAGGGGACAGTTCTACTCTGCCATAGAGGGTCTCTGTGAGACTACCGGTTGGAATCAACTCCACAGCCACGGGTTTGGTTTTTGGTTTGATTGGTAGGCATGTCGGTATGAAACAATTAGAATTAATCACCACGTGCAGAAAAATCTCAACTGAATTTTAAGTATTTGAGAATTTTTTTCAGATTGTAATGTTCATACAATGTAAGTTCAGTAAGGGGATAGGGACTTGGTTTTTTTTACCTTTGTATCAGTAAGTTCGTAGCAAACAGCATCAAATGCATATTTGGAATGAATGAATGAATGCATAGTCAGTACTCTATGATGGTTAGAGCTTCGAAATGTCATCAGCGAGTAGTGCCAGCACTTCCAGTGACTCACGTGTCATCTGGGTATGATGCAAGGAATGCTTACAGCATAATTTACCTCTTCAGAGGTGTGGGCCAAACTGTTTCTTACTCTTGCTGGCTGCTTTGAGATCCTTGAAGATTATGTATTCGATCATAAATACTACACCACTGTTGTGACAACCCATATATAAAGTTACAAAAGTATAAAATCATGTTTAAATGCCACCAGTTTCCCCCCACATCTGTCCTTAGCCTATCAAGAACTGAAATACAGTGTGACGGGCTGCATCTGTACATAAACTATTTGGCTTATGGAAACTTCATCATCGTTTGCAAATATTTCACAGTGTGCAATAGAAGTTTAAATAATCAGTATTTTAGTAGCATTTATGGTGATGTTATGTTATAGAGAGTTGAGACCTCTGACCTGTGAAGTGCCTGGGAAAAAACTAATTTTTGATGACTCTTTTTCCTAAGTTGGTATGTGAAATCTTGAACTTGTTCCTGTTGTGAATGACTGAAAGGCTGGGATTACTCAGCCACATGAAGGGCCTACTGTGTGTCAGGCATTGTTCTAGGTGCTGGGACTAGAGTCGTGAACAGACAAAACTGACTGACTGCTTAAAGTTTAAGTGGTTTGGGTCACTATTTAAATGCAGATTGCCTTAGGAGTGGTAACACATTACACACATTTTGGGTACATCTAAAACCCATTCCTGTTGACAGCTCTTGGTAGAGGGCCCTTGGAAGGGGAAGAAAAAATCACCAAAGAGAGGCTCTGTGGAAAGGCAGGTGAACGGAGGCCAGGCCAGGACAGCGGGAAGTGGCCTGATTCGAATCAGAAGGAAGGTACCACTCCTTAATCATTGACTTAAGTCTCTTCTATTTAAAAAAAATCAAAAGACAAAACTACGCAATACTCTGCTTTGTACCATTCTCCTGATCTGAGTTGCCCTCCTCTTTCTTGATGCCCTCTGACATCACTGGAAGGCCATGCGCGTGTTTTTTGCCAGCGCCCCATCACTTGTGTGGTGTGTTGACTACATAAGGGTGCCTGGTGGAGGAGGTGAGTGAGCGTTCAACTCCAGCCCTAGCTTCACCTG